TTGAATGAATCCATCCAGCGGTCTTATCATCCGATTCCCAAAATTGAAACGTCTCTCAGCTCAATCTCAGGAGCAAAATGGTTTTCAAAACTTGATGCAAACAGTGGTTTTTGGCAAGTCCCCTTAAATGTAAATTCCCAGGATCTAACTACTTTCCTTACCCCTTTTGGACGTTTTAAATTTCTCAAACTTCCATTTGGAATCACATCAGCACCTGAACATTTTCAGAAATGCATGAACAAAATCTTAGACAACCAGTCAAATGTCGCAGTCCCTATGGACGATATTCTGATTTGGGGCAAAACGAAAGAAGAACATGATACAGTTGTTCGGCAAGTACTTGAAAAGCTTAAAAATGTAGGAATGACACTTAACAAAGACAAAACTGAGTTTGGGAAGTCAAGTATTAAATTCCTTGGGCATTTCCTCTCATCCGATGGAATTTCTGTTGATAAGGAAAAGGTTTCCGCCATTCTCAAAATGGACTGCCCAAAAAACGTAAAAGAACTTCAAAGGTTCAATGGGATGGTAAACTTTCTTGGTAAGTTTATTCCTGACAAAGCTAAGATTTTGGCCCCAATGAATTCACTACTTCAAGCTAACGTTCCGTGGATATGGGGTCCAGAGCAGGCGAAGGCATTTGATGAAATAAAACTCATTTTGACTAACTCTCCTTGCCTAGCCATTTACGATGTAAATCGGGAAACAATTATCTCCTGTGATGCCTCGCTTCAAGGACTAGGATCAACTCTTTCTCAAGTTCAAGATGATGGTTCTATACGACCAGTATCATTTGCATCCCGAAGCCTTCTTCCTTCTGAAAAAAACTATGCAAACATTGAGAGGGAGGCTACAGCTGTTGCTTGGGCATGTGAAAAGTTTCAAGAATTTATTATTGGCAAGAGAATAACAATACAAACAGATCACAAACCACTACTTCAAATTTTGAAATCCAAACATCTTGATGAATTGTCTCCAAGAATTTTAAAGAATTCGATTGCGTCTCATGAGATATGATTTTTCAATTACTTATATTCCTGGAAAGCAGCTTCTAGTTCCTGATGCTCTTTCAAGAGCACCTCTCCCATTTTCACGTACTGATGACCGTGAGTTAGAAGAAGAAACTCAAGCGTTTGTTCAAATGGTTTTGTCGTCCATCGATATAAACGACTGCATAGTTGCTAAAGTATTGGAGGAACAAAATAAAGATCCGACTTTACGTGAACTGAAAAAAATAATCATCCAAGGTTGGCCTTCTAAGACATCATTACGAGATGACCTAAAACCGTATAATTCAGTTAAGGATGAGCTAAGTGTTGATAATGAGATGATACTACGAGGTTCAAGACTTGTAATTCCGCCAGCTCTGCAGTCTTGGGCACTTCAAAGAGTACATGAAGGTCATTTTGGAATCACCAAGTGTCGTTTACGTGCAAAAGAGTCAGTCTGGTGGCCAGGAATTTCTTCAGCCATTGAAAGTATGGTGAAATCATGCCCTACTTGTATTAAACATTCAAGGAACAGTCATGAACCATTGCTTCCCACACAATTCCCTGACAGGCCATGGAAAACACTTGCGATGGATTTGTTCAAACTTGAAGGCGTTTGGTTTTTGACTGTGACAGATTATTACTCCAGATATTTTGAGATAGCTGAATTAGAGTCATTAACATCACGAGAAGTAATAATGAGATGCAAAGCCTTTTTCTGTCGACACGGCATTCCAGAAGAAATTAGGTCTGACTGTGGGTCTCAATTTCAAGTCCTTGAACATTCAGATTTCAAGACATTTTCCAAAGTTTATGGCTTCAAGCATATAACAAGTAGCCCAAAATTTTCCCAAAGCAATGGAGAGGCTGAAGCGGCAGTCAAAATTGCCAAAATGATTCTAAAGAAAAATGTGGAAGACCCTTATTTAGCGCTTCTAGCCTATCGAACGACACCCTTCTGGAATGGGTTCAGTCCCTCTCAGCTTCTTATGAACAGGCGATTACGGAGCACATTGCCTCAGACAGGACATTTGCTTTGTGGAAAACCAGATCTAAAGGATCTTAAAGGGAGAGAAGAAACATATCGTGAGAAGTACAAACACAACTATGATAGAAGGCACAAAGTGCAAACTCTCAATCCTCTTCATATAGGAGACCCAGTTTGGATTGTGGACCTTAGAAGACATGGCAAAATTGTGAAAATCCTGGACAGCCCTCGTTTATATATTGTTGAAACTGATAAGAGGAATGTGAGAAGAAATCGATTCCACCTCAAACTTGCCCCTTATTTAAGAGAGGAAAACAGTGAACAAAATTTGTCAGCGAATACACATCAAACAGAACCATACAACCGTCCAAAGAGAAATATACACAAACCAAGCTGGTTGAAGAACTTTCAAACTTAAAAGGGAGGATGTTGTGAGAACAGTTTATTTCATAACACCTGTTAATTTCTATTAATTATTATCATATGTTTATTTGTTATTCTATGTTTGTAAAAAGGTAAATAAAGTCAGTTGAGTTTGAGTTATGACATAAAACAGTGCATTCACTTAATTCTTAGTAAAATAGTACAAGTACTTAATAACATTATTTATTTGGTGAAAGTAAACTAAATAGCATTACCGTTTCTGAAGATAAAGCTGTAAAAGCAAGAAGGAGTTTTGAAATATTGGGTTTTTCAGAATAGCGTTAAAAGCAAGAAAGCTGCGTGAGGTGGATTTACACATTCATCTTTGAAAACATCAAAGTGTCTTTTGTACGTGTTTGGAATGCAAAGCTGTCTTTGGTAGAAGAAATGTTCCGCTTAAATACATCAAATGTAAAACTTAATATGAGCTTATGCAATTAGTTAGTGATTTAGGCTTATCAATGATAGTAACAATATAAAATATTCAGTAAGTAATTTGGTAACATTTTTGCAGTTACAAAAATTTCCATTGTAACTACAAAGTACATTTGAAAATTCAACTACGTTTTTGGTGTATTTAATGTATGAATTTCGTATATTTTTTGTGAATAGTTTACGCAAATATTACGTTGTGCATTGCAACATATTTTTAGTTAGGCATTAGTTTCATTAATTTTGAAATTTGCATCGCTCTGATTTAAAACTACAGCAATTCCATTTCATTGCATATTCCCTAGGGTTGAATTTAATAAGTCTTAGACGATTTTTTGTTTTAAAATACTTTCTTTCTACAAAAATAAATCATATCTACGTATTTCCGAATAGTTTTCAAAAATATATAATGATGTTAGATATCTAGTATTATTTACAATCCATGTCGGTTTTTAATGACACAAAATACATTACAGTCTAAACTTTGAAGTTTTTAAGAATTATAGGGGTTCAGAAACTTTACCAAACCTTAAGTAAAAAATAAAGTTTAGCTAACTGTGACCGTAAAATACTTAAAATTACAATCATAGTTATTTGTATTATGTTTCTTTACAATTGTTAGCCCTTATTCTTACATTATCATTTGCCATCAATTTCTGAGTTGTGACTTAATATATTTAAAACAAATAATAATAAGTATGCCTAGTGTGGCTTTGTAATAAAGTCTTGGTCATTAATTTCTCGGTACCAATAATAACCCGTTTAATGAAAAGAGACAGATTGGCTTAGAAATAAACATATACAACCGTTTTCCATCGTAAGAAATTATTTTTTCTGATCTCAGCTACTTGATTGGACAAAAACACAACGTCCGCAAATTTACACTAAATAGTTTACACTCAAATACAATAAAGTAATACGTTATATATTATTGGATATGTTTAAATCATCTTTGGAAAATTCCAAATTGAAAGATTACATGTTAACAATGTATTTAAATGTTTAAACATTTTTCCATTATTTTTAGTTAAAACTACACCCTAACGTTTAAAGTCTCTTAGGGTTTATCCTGTTTTAGACAAAACATAATTTTCGATTAATGCATATTCAAAGCTGTCGAATTAAATTAAGTAGGCTAAGTTGCAGAGTATTAAGATTTACTTTGCTAGCTTATTACTCTAAGGACTTAAAAGGCGTATTTTTGTATCCGTAAATCGATTCGTTTCGGTTAGGTAAAAACTGGTAAAAGAAACTTTGAACAAGCATTGTAAAAAGTTTGTGCAGTATTCGTAGCTTTAGGTTGGCAAACTTGCCCTAACTAACCTTTAGAAGTTCCAGCAACCGGCCAATAGCCCCTTAGTGACCATAAACTTCTTAGACCACTTTCTTTTATTTCATTTTGTTACTTAGAGTCCACCAATGGAAATGATATTTTTATATCACGTAGAGTATCAGTAATTTAATTGTATGTATCCATAATATTCCTGTTTTTAAATTAATTATTTTTTAGGATAGGCCTATTGTTAAAATGTCGACGTATAAGGCATTTTCTAAAGTTAATATTTTAATAGTATTTACAGAAGGTCGATAATCCTCTGTTGACTGACAGGTCATTTTCCCGGGTTTATGTCAGCTGTCTGGAAAAGTAAGGCGCGGTTGACATAAATTGACAGGTTCAATTCTGTCCTGATGGATCTTTGCAAAAAACACTTTTGAATAACGGTTGACATATTTAAAAGAAAGGAGGAGTAGAGGTAGTAAAATGTGATTATTTGTAGTTGATATTGCTAAATGATTCCACTACTAGTTGTAATTTTTCATACATCGCAAAACTATGTTTTAACAATGTAATAAAAAATAACTAACTTTGATTAACACCTTTAGGACGCATAATACCACTGTTGAGCCTAAACTGCATATTAAACATGTTTAACACAAATCTGTTTTGCTTATTACAGCGTATAGGTAGAAAGATTTGGTGTTCTCTGTTATTAATATTGGTTCCTAATTTTATTTCTTTACACCAACCAGGAGAATAATCCCCTCCACAACATCGTTATTACTGCAGGTAATTCTACTCGTTTGATCGATCATCAGATCTGACATTTAAGGTATCATCAGACTCGTCTGAGGCAGTGTTTTGCTCAAGGTCAAGGTCATACTTGCAGGTTTTCCTCCTCCACACCAGGACCTGCAGAGTTCGCTTCTCAGTTCCAGAGTCAGGTTATGTTTTGTGATAGAAATGCGGACCAGGATCGTTCTAGGATTTGTGTGCATTTTTCACCTCGCAGGTATTACGATTTTTTTACAAGCTTAACATAAAACATCCTTCAATACGTTTTGACAAATCGATAATCATACTTAAAAGATTTACCGGGAGGAAATGCAGTTAATTAAACGCTTTTAAATTGGCAATCAATTTTATTTGTAACTTTAGTCTAAACTATTTAATTAGACATGTTGCATATTTGTGTCACTATTCAGATTTGACTATAATATTGTGGTGTAATTACCTCGTCAAGTAATCCAAATGTTGTTGATGTAAGGTTGAAAACCTACATGTTTCACCGTTATGGCATCGTCAGGGTACAAATGACATAAAAGACATTACCACAGACAATATAACAGGCCTATCACACGACGCGGGCGGTCTCGGCGCAGGTAGTGGACCAAAGTGTCTTAGATTTTTAACCTCACAACAACAACATTGGATTACTTGATGAGGTAATTATACCACAATATTATAGTCGTTTATAGTACCACAGGGGCCATCAACATGGAATTTAATTCAGATTTGATTGCCATTGCGACATATTTTATGTATATATATTTACTGCCGCTAAACTGTTTACAGTATGGATGTAAATGTAGTGAGAAGTGGTGGGGCGTGTGCTCGAATTGATCCGCGGTTAGAGGGTAGTTTTTGGATCATTCAAACTGACCCGGGGGTCTCGTAGGTAGATAAGGGTCGCTTGAAACATGTGATCTGACCCGCGAGTCGTTGAGGGAGGCATGGGAATTCTCCCCGTCCTCTACGGGAAAAATAAGTTGAGTAATAGACTTAGTATTTTCTTTATACACACTAATATGATTTAGCCTATTAGCTAATTTTAGCAATTTAATTGATTTGGCTTAATATAGCTAGCCTACTTTGGTCTTCTATTTATATTCAAATCCGTCCAAATATTCTATAAGTTTCGATATCAAACGGTTTCTACAATTGGCAAAAAGTTAACATAATGATCTTTTATTAAGATTACTTTACATAATAATTTTTTTATTAAATTATTTTTTATACAAATATAATAATAATTTATTATTATATTTTTTATTATTTTTTTATTATTTTATTAATTTTTTAACAATAATTTACAACAAACGATGTATTATTTTTAAGGATAGTATAAAGAACACTGTAACAAATAGAGTAATACACGTGAAATCTCACGTAAATTTTAGCATTCTATAGAACTATCATAGACGTTTTGAGAGCCTGGTCCTGGGGCGAAGTACTCACCACACACTGAGCTCAGCTTAAATAAAATACAAAGATTAAAATGACAAAAAACCTTCAAAATTCGTTTAAAACATAGGGTGAGTTATAATCACTCAATAGAACCATATAGCAATATAAATGATCATTGATGTATTTCTGTTGGTTTGTACTAAATAACTATTAGTTTTTACAGATTTTAAAATACGATATCAATATTTAAGCCAAAACAACTAAATTGCTAAGATAAGCTATTAGGCTAAATCATATTAGTGGTTGTATAAGGAAATACTTAGTCTGTTGCTCAAATTATTTGTCCCGTAGAAGCCTGGAGAATTTCCCGTCCTCCTTCAACAACTCGCGGGTCAGATCACATGTTTCAAGCAACCCTATTATCTACCTACCAGACCCCCGGGTCAGTTTGAATAATCCAAAACTACCCTCTGACCGCGGATCAGTCTGTATGCAGCCGTGGTGGGGGAGGTATTTTTTGATGTTTGAATAATAGCCAACCCAAAATTACTGTTTTAAAGGTGTTTAAGGTATTTTCTAAATTATAGTTTCAAAATTGTAGTTTCAATTTTGTGATTAAAACTAGGTACATTGTTTTAATAAATGTTTAAATTAATAATGAAGGAATGATAAGTAAGCAATTCCAATAGAAATCCCAGTTAATAATAGTTTTGTATTTAGTACAGCAGGGCCAAAGAACTGCCTACCACTATCTAACCCAATACTTATTTTGTTCTTTAAGAATAAACTCTGTACAGTATAATTTCTTCTCGATTTTTACGACAAGACTGAATGATTTATATCGCGTTTTTTATTTAATGTTTTTTTATACAGCTTTGTCTTATATGATCGTTGGCTTTAACAGCTTTAACATTGCAATAGTATGAAGTGTCTACTTATCTGTATTTCTTTGATAATCATGTTTTATGAAAAAATTTTCATTTCAGGATTAACCTCAGCTGACTCCATTGACACCTTCAACATCTTGGATCAAGAGGGCAAAAACACTTGTATTGCAGACTTGAGATGTTACTTGAGTCTCGATGAGCAAAATAAGTTCACCCTCTCGTTTGATCTTATTCTAGGTGAGTGGAAAGTAATCAAATATTAGTAATCGATTATAATAATAATTGTGATAATAACTAGTACTGGTACATATAATGTTTGAGCTATATAAACGCAGAATAAATGATAAGCAATTAATTATGATCTACAGACTAGAATTTGTATTAGAATCTTAGGGACAGTAAGGGCAATTATTTTAGTAGGTATTTTCTTAGTTTTAACAATGTTAATTTTAACAGAATATACTCATTATTTTATTTCCAATTTGTCTGGACAAATACATTTTTATCATAATTTTGGAGTCAAATAAGACGAATAACAAGACTACAAGGTCGCGCCACTCATAGGGTTAAAATACGCACATAGTACCGTCCCCAATTGAATGGTTGATTGATTGATTGATTGATATTTATCCCTTTAAACCCAATGTTGTTGTTGTGTAGTTAGACGGTGTAGTTGATATTTTTATACGAGTATATTGTTCATAAGCGTTTTCTCCTGTTAAAATATGTATCATGTTAAATACTACTAGGCCATGCGCACAATGGATGACTGGAGAGCCATCTCTTCTAGTGGTAGAGCGAGGAACTTCAGTCCGTGGGGTACCAGGTTTGAATCCCGCCAAACTCCAAACAACAATGAATTATAACTATGTGATAATGCCGTGACCCTTTGGGCCTAGCCTGAAGTAATTTGAAAAGTTCCAGTTTAGACATTAGCAGTATTAGAACTCTTGAATGTGAAGGTAGTATATAAAATCACAAAACAGTGCAGGATAAACACGCAATTCTTTTGTATAATTTGGTACTATTATGGTAATAACTAATACCCATTTTCCAGACAAAAACACCGAAAGGACTATTTACAAAGTGCTAATTGAAAAGATGGAAGAAGGCGACATTTTGAAGAAGCAACTATTCCTGTGTTACGATGATGTGAACAAGACCGCCATATTGACATCAGAATGTAACAGCACAACTGTCATCCCAGCTGGCTTGTACCACATCGACTATGTCGTCGAAGTACCAGTATTTAAGGTACTATTATAATATCTTGTCACCTGTATGGATTAGATTAAATTTGATTTCATAACGCGTGTCATAATTTTTATAGGCATGTTAATGACATTTGACTGCTGTATGAGTGTGTGAAAACTTTGCTATTAACTAAGATTAGCTGTTTTCTTAGGGTTACACGACCAAACGCAGACGGGTCCTGATTCTAACCATAAAAGAGCTACTTTTCTCATGATCGTACTAACCTCGGATTAGCTTCATATTTTGCCTACCTTACTACATTTATAATTACGTTTTCTTAAACGTGTACCAACATTAACTCCTCAAGTTTACATGTGGTACACTTCAAAAAAAACTATGGATTTCAGAATATTTCAGGGATCTACCGAAATTTCCGGAGGCTGTGACAAGCTCTTTCAAAAATCAATCCAGCATTTAACAAACTCAAATCTTTACAATTAAGTCTCCTTACTCTATTGGTCTTACATACCGTTCCTCTTGCTAATCAAAATTAATATATTTTCAGGACATAGCCTCAATGATGATTTGGGGACCCAATGGTATGGGCTGGTACCGCAGTGTAGTGTCTACGTTATCTTCCTTTCCTCCTATCACGCTCGGCCCCCCTGGAGGACCTCAGTAGCTGATCAACAGATCATCATGTTGCCATTGGGGTTAATGATACAGTGATTTATCGCTAAGTATATTAGTTATTTCCCATAACTTATGACTTACGTTTTTACAAAGGCAGTTAACCTTTCTTAATAGAATATTTAATAATAATTTAATTTTGACGGACTTCAATTTATGATTGGTGACCATTTGATATATTTGTACGGTTTTGCTTCATTTTATCTAACTGAAATTTACAATTTATTAAGTTAATTGTATACGAACTAGATTAAATACACCTTCTTGGAAAATACCAGTGTTTTATTATTTGTTTTTAAGCCCGATTACTAAAGGTGACAACTCTTTTATGGTTTCTTGTAGGAACAAGATTATTTTATGAAGCTTTTAACATGTTTTTATTTATCTTTGATATTTGCACATAAATTAAAAACGCAATAACCATAATGAAAGCATAGGATAATTAAATTTGTATGACTTTGTTTCAACTTTTGTTAATGTAAAAGACCAACATGTATACAATATTTATGTAGGACGATTATTTTAAAATATGCAACAACGATATTGATAACGTGTTACTATAAAACTTTACTAGAGTAGCATGTTAACATTTTTGTACATAAATGTTAACAAGATTGACAGACAAGACAGTCCATTTGTAGGGAGCTCAGTGCCTTACACATTATGCAAATGTTGACAACTTGAATTAGGGTATGATTATTCATGTGACATGAAGCGCTAAGAACATGAATTAGACAGTGTCTATGTGTTCTGCAACATAAGATGCATCCAGCACAACGTCAAACATTCTCCAAAGTTGTATCTGTAGTTAACACTTAATATTAATAACGGTCAAATTTTAAATTTTTAATGGTATAAGGCCTACTAGTTTTATAGCATAATGTAAACACTATACTAAATATTGGGATAGATTAGATGCATTTTTATACACATCTTCATTAATCAGCCAATTGTATTTGGTGTACAGTATAATCCATGATACGTAATGCAGCTTATTCTTACATACCTATTTCTTATTGGTGTTGGAAATACATTTTTTCAACACTTACAAGTAATAATGTTAAATTCAACAATGTTAAATGTTGTTTCTGTTAAACCTTCTGCAATTATAACGGGAAATTGAAATATCAAATAAACTAATAACCTTACACCGATCAAATGAATTAAACTTTTCTTAATGACCTATATAAACGGATCTGCTCTTGAATAATAACAAAACTATTCAACTAATTACTGCTGAATATTACTGTCAGTTCGCAATATACGTTTTGAGACAAACTTATAAACTTGGTTGTCAACTCTGAAAAATCTGAATCAACCAAAGTACCACAACCACACAAACACCTGATAACCAAAGTTAAAAAGGCGATTAAGTAAACTATATCCATAATGGAAATGTTATCCATCATTATTCAAACACATAAAACGAATGAATTTCAATGAATCGAAATAATTAACTTTTTCAAACGAATTGACTTTTGTTGATTGGACTGGAAATTGTGTTTACTAAATCTCATGACAGATTTATAAAATCAATGAGTTTCACTGCAGATTTGAATAAAGTCGCACAAATTATTTTTTTATTTTATAAGATCTCCTTTGTATTTTAAAAGGAGAACGGCCTAAAAATTATTTTTAATATTAATCGTGCTCGAATTCAGATAAGAAAACTGAAATGTTATAAATATAAATCGTTATTAAATAATATCCTTTTTAAGCTAACAAACTGCATATAAACTGTCTTGCATAAACAGTCACAATACAAACTAGTAGAACCAGTATAAAATTACTAACATAAGACGTAACTATATGATAATAATACTCAGTCGTAAGAACTTGTTTGTTAAACGACCAGGAACACTTTTTTATATATCTTTGCTGATTGGTTTGAAAATAAAGAGTATTTACTGGTATGCACGGAAAGCTTAAATCTTACCTTATTTAGTAGATGTAATATAGTTTAAAAAATAATTTATGGATAAGTATCTTTTACCCACTACCCATATTGATAGCCAACATTTTTTATAAACAGATAAAACCACAAATTCATATATAAGACCAGTAGTTTACTGGGACTAGGTATCCTAGCTATTCCCAGTGACTTTCATTATTTACGGAAGAAAGATAAATCACCAACAGTGATAACCTCCCTCATTACTCATCTCGGCCTGAATTAAGGCTTTATTTCGTTACATTTTTCTAAGTCATTATGTACCTTTTCTTGCGGTTTACGACGATTACGGTTAAGAAATTGTAAACAACACTTATGCTTTACTATTACTTTATTTTAATACTGTACTTTTAAAACCAAAGCGTCAAAAAATAAAAATAAACTTAAATAAAAATTCATTTATTTACCATTTAATCAGATCGACAACAAGCAACATGCAAGTTACCGATATAATTAGTCACATGGTTATGGAGTGCATGGTTAGTTTTGCAGATGTTTAGATGATTATGTTTGTTATACATACTAGTGTTAGCTTATATCTAATTGTTACCACTTTTAGATTTCGAAGTACTGTATATTGGAAGCCCTGTAAAACATACGTTTAACTGAAAGTTTAATTAAAGTAAAATTTGCACTAAGAACACTTGTATAAGTTTAAAAAAATTACATGTAGTGTTTTTCTTTTTTTAAACAAAGGGCTGTTTTTTTTTTTTTTTTTTTTTTTTTGCAGTGATATGATTAAAGGTGCGTCATATTGTTCTTGTTTTTGTTAAATGTATCGTTGTTTTGTATCTTTTACTTAATCACTACATTTTGCTTATACTTTAGGTGTCTTTGAAACCGGTATAGACATAGATACAGGTATTGCAATTTTCGTGCGAAAACAGATTTAAACGGACGTTAATTCCCGAACTAATATTGAAAATACTATTGCAAACCAACGAAAATAAATATACAAATATTTGTATCGTTATTTTAAATTTAAAAATTATTTTATGTTTAATAATATTATTTAAAATAAGACTACTTAGACACACCTAATAAGGATGATCATCAGGTAAGAGGTTAACTAAAGTAAGGAGTTTGAGTTTATTTTTCATTTCTTAGGAATTTTATATTTTAAAAATAAGTCAAACAATGTCTTTTCCCTAGTCAATCTACACCTATATTAGAGGAACCCCGGCTCAGATGTTCTAGATGGTCCATAGAAAACAATAATCTGTCGACTTCTGACCAAACGCTAATGGTAAAATTGGTAATAAACCGAGTCCTACCTCTGTTTTAATACATCTCAGCATTATTCACCCATAAAGTATTATTTATTTTACAAGAACGTGAACAATAATTCTATTGCAAAATGAATGATACTACGGATATGAAATCCGTTTTGGCAACCACTTCAATGGAGTAAAATAAATATAGATTAGTATTAGAACTTCTAATATTTTGTGGGCAATACTCAAAAGTTCGAACTAAAATCCGAGCTCGCAAGTTTCAACACGAACATAGAGTTCGGAACAAAACTCGCGTTACTCACGGACCCTCACACACAAACTCTGTTACCAACTCTTTCATCTCATTTATTTGACTGATTTATACCTTGTTTAACTAGTATATGTTTTATTGAGAATACTTATTAAAAAAATAATGAATTGAAATAATGGGTGTAATTGCATAAGTTAACAGCCTGTGCAATACTTCTTTCAATCTACTGGTGGTCTTAACAAAAATTGTGTTATTCTCTTGTGTTTGACTGAAGGACGGAAAACAATGGCTTTTGTCTGCTTCAAACTTGGAGAAGGATACAATGAATCAGAAATTATGTATATGTTACCAACTTGGATTGAGTTTTAACTATTCATGTGTTAACAAAGACACAAAGGCCCTCCCTTCAGTTACGACATAAAGTGTTTAGTTTGAAGTGAAGTGAAAAGAATTTTTTGTAAACGTCAAACTAGCATTTTATTCGTTTGGTTTTCACATTGTTTACAACATGCTTATCAATTATTTAAACACGTATAGGAGAGAAAATTAATTTTTTAACCCCACGTAACTATTGCAAAGTGTTCGTTAAATTTAAAACAATCAATTTAATTTTACATGTAAATTTATGTAAATTATAGAGTTTGTAAAAACAATTCATACAAGAATTCGTGTTCTTAAGCATCAATATTTTTTTGAAAATTATGTCACGAATACGTCACAAAATCAGTGTTACAAATCAATAACGGTAATAAAATACAGGAGCGGCATCGGTAACCGAGCCCAAGTGTCATAAAACTGAGATATGATCCGGTTTATTACCCGTGAATCCAGGCGGATGTAGTACCCATTGTATGTGTGGTCCAAGTGAGATTCCCCCCCCCCTTATTTCGTTATATTCCTCCTGTTTTAACTCTATTTGATTTTATTTGATTATGATAATAATCTAAGTAATACTTAATACTGTATTACAATTAAATGTTATGCTCAATCTCTACTTTTAAGAAGGTTGAATACTAGTTCATTAACACTGTTCTTCACCACGAAAGAAAATTCAATAGCTTAGTAATTTTACTCTGAGTTCATAATCAACTATACAGCTTGGTTCTGTTTAAAGAACCTTAGGTGGATGTCAAAAATTACTTATTAAATACAAAATTCAGTGATAAATTATGAGGCTGTGGAAATAAGTAAAAATTTAGAAGATGAAGTAGAAGGGCACTTCACATATCAACAGAAGACACTTGGAATAGTTTGATTTATTTTTATTACAAATATTATTGAGGTAGTTACTAGGGTTGTATTTATATGTTATTAATTCGTTCTACTAAATATTGGGAAAGCTTTAAAAAATATGAAATGAGGTGTAATAGAGGGAAACGTATTTTTCATACAACCACAGAGCAGGGAAGGTTTATACATTATTATATTTGACAGTCACTCTGGTCCCCGGAGAAATCAGCTGATTTCTTAGCCACTATCCCCGACTACTGTTTATTGGATTGTGTTTGACTGGCTTTACTGTTAAAAACTGTCCTCTCTGATTTAAATTAACTTTTAAATTATTTCATAACTGTATATATTTATTATTTTATAGGCACCTTCCAATATGAAAACAATTATATACTTAAATAAACCGAGTAAGTTTGTAAACGTATTTAGGCCTACTGCCACAACAAACTTTTGGTAGATGAAACAATTTGTTCATTTGTGAACCATAAATTTAATTAATTTAATGGAGTTTCATGTGATTTTATGCCATAGTAGATAAATAAAACTACAAATTATTTGTTTTAATTTTTAGGAACAATTGCCTTTAGAACTACTGTAATTATACATCAATATACTGTAT